GAGCGATGTTGGCGTTCTCATCCGTTCGGCTTCCCGACGCTCCAAGACGGAGGAAGCCCCACAGATCGCCCCAAGACGGCCCAAGAGGTCTCCGGGAGAGCCCCAAGAGAGCCCGGGAGGGCCAACAGACGGCCCAAGAGGCCTCCAACACGGCCCAAGATTTTCCCAGGTCGGCCCCAAGAAGGGGCCAGACGGGTAACCCGAACGGACATGTCGAGCCCTCGGCGCCAATAGGCGCCCGGGAGGCCCCAAGAAGCCCCTACGAGCCCAACAAGAGGCCCCAAGAGGCCCCAAAGAGGCTACAAGAGAGGCTCCCAAAACTCCCAACAGGCCCCCCAAAAGCCCCAGGAGGCCCCCAAGAAGCCCCCCGGGGGCTCCCCAGAGTCTCCCTCCGAAGAGACCCCAAGAAGCATCCATCAGGACTTTGACCCACAACCCAAGTGCGTCTCGAAACTCTTTTAGAGCTCTCTTGAGCCATCTTGGCGCCCTCTGGGGCAGTCCAGCGGCTGCCTTCGACAGGGTGTGAGCCACATATCCAAAGATCGACTCGAAGATTGTACTGCCCTCCCCCTGGGCAAGAGCACACCACCACGCAGCCATAGTGATGCGAAATGGGCCGGCGGAATGAGCGAAGCGGTTTGAAAATAACTGGTACAAATAATACGAATATCCAAAATAATAATGATAGCGATACTAGTATTAGATAAATCAGCATAAAAATACATTACCCTGGCGACGTACCCAACCCCTGCGCAATGCGGGGCATGAGTAGATTGGGAGTCGTTACACGGAGGTGATGACGTGACATGGGCGCATATACTTCTGCGAGCGGCATTCGTGAGGCTCGCAGCCCCCCAAGGATGGCGATGTCCCGCTCAGATCTGCCTGGTGCCTCGCCCCGCTGGACCCACCAGCAGCCCTCGAAAGTGACGACAACTTCGCAGATCGCAGCCCCCCAGGGACGGCGAGGTCCCGCTCAGATCCGCGCGGTGCCTAACCCCGCAGGACCCACCAGCAGCCCTCGAAAGTGGCGACAGTTTCGCAGATCACAGCCCCCCAGGGACGGCGAGGTCCCGCTCAGATCCGCGCGGTGCCTCACTTCGCAGGACCCACCAGCAACCCTAGAAAGGGCCGACAATCTCGCAGATCGCAGCCCCCCAGGGACGGCGAGGTCCCGCTCAGGTCCGCGCGGTGCCTCACTCCGCAGGACCCACCAGCAGCCCTCGAAAGTGGCGACAGTTTCACAGATCACAGCCCCCCCAGGGAAGGCGAGGTCCCGCTCAGGTCCGCGCGGCGCCTCACTCTGCAGGACCCACCAGCAGCCCTCGAAGGTGGCGACAGCTTCGCAGATCGCAGCCCCTCAGGGACGGCGAGGTCCCGCTCAGGTCCGCGCGGTGCCTCACTCTGCAGGACCCACCAGCAGCCCTCGAAAGTGGCGACGGTTTCGCAGATCGCAGGCACCCAGGGACGGTGAGGTCCCGCTCAGGTCCGCGCGGTGCCTCACTCCGCAGGACCCACCAGCAGCCCTCGAAGTGGCGACGGTTTCGCAGATCGCAGCCCCCCAGGGACGGCGAGGTCCCGCTCAGGTCCGCAGGGGACGGCGAGGTCCCGCTCAGGTCCGCGCGGCGCCTCACTCCGCAGGACCCACCAGCAGCCCTCGAAAGTGGCGACAGTTTCACAGATCGCAGCCCCCCAGGGACGGCGAGGCCCCGCTCAGGTCCGCGCGGTGCCTCACCCCGCAGGACCCACCAGCAGCCCTCGAAAGTGGCGACGGTTTCGCAGATCGCAGCCCCCCAGGGACGGCGGTCCCGCGCAGGTCCGCGCGGTGCCTCACTCCGCAGGACCCACCAGCAGCCCTCGAAAATGGCGACAATTTCGCAGATCGCAGCCCCCCAGGGACGGCGAAGTTCCGCTCATGTCCGTGCGGTGCTTCACTCCGCAAGACCCACCAGCAGACCTCGAAGGTGGCGACAGCTTCGCAGATCGCAGCACCCCTGGGACGGCGAGGTCCCGCTCAGGTCCGCGCGGTGCTTCACTCTGCAGGACCCACCAGCAGCCCTCGAAAGTGGCGACAATTTCGCAGATCGCAGCCCCCCAGGGGCGGCGAGGTCCCGCTCAGGTCCGCGCGGTGCCTCACCCCGCAGGACCCACCAGCAGCCCTCGAAAGTGGCGACAACTTCGCAGATCGCAACCTCCCAGGGACGGCGAGGTCCCGCTCAGGTCCGCGCGGCGCCTCACACCGCAGGACCCACCAGCAGCCCTCGCGCGACGCAGTTTCGCGCAGGCCGCCGAGGTCTCGCTCAGGTCCGCGCGGCAGGTCGAAAGTGGCGACAAGATCGCAGCCCCCCAGGGACGGCGAGGTCTCAGGTCCGCGCGGCGCCTCACTCCGCAGGACCCACCAGCAGCCCTCGAAAGTGGCGACAATTTCGCAGATCGCAGCCCCCCAGGGACGGCGAGGTACTGTTTGGATCCGCGGTGAGTACCCTCTCTGCTGGCCATCCCAGCAGCCCTCGAAAGTGGCGACAACTTCGCAGATCGCAGCCCCCTCAGGGATGGCGAGGTCTTGTTTGGATCCGCGGTCAGTACCCTCTCTGCTGGCCTCCCCAGCAGCCCTCGATTGTGGCGACAGTTTCACAGATCGCAGCCCCCCAGGGACCGCGAGGTCCCGTTTGGATCCGCGGTGGGTACCCTCTCTGTTGGCCTCCCCAGCAGCCCTCGAAAATGGCGACAATTTCGCAGATCGCAGCCCCCCAGGGACGGCGAGGTCCCGTTTGGACCCGCGGTGAGTACCCTCTCTGCTGGCCTCCCCAGCAGCCCTCGAAAGTGGCGACAGTTTCGCAGATCGCAGCCCCCCAGGGACGGCGAGGTCCCGTTTGGATCCGCGGTGAGTACCCTCTCTGCTGGCCTCCCCAGCAGCCCTCGAAAGTGGCGACAGTTTCACAGATCGCAGCCCCCCAGGGACGGCGAGGTCCCGTTTGGATCCGCGGTGAATACCCTCTCTGCTGGCCTCCCCAGCAGCCCTCGAAAGTGGCGACAGTTTCACAGATCGCAGCCCCCCAGGGACGGCGAGGTCCCGTTTGGATCCGCGGTGGGTACCCTCTCTGCTGGCCTCCCCAGCAGCCCTCGAAAGTGGCGACAGTTTCACAGATCGCAGCCCCCCAGGGACGGCGAGGTCCCGTTTGGATCCGCGGTGAGTACCCTCTCTGCTGGCCTCCCCAGCAGCCCTCGAAAGTGGCGACAGTTTCACAGATCGCAGCCCCCCAGGGACGGCGAGGTCCCGTTTGGATCCGCGGTGAGTACCCTCTCTGCTAGCCTCCCCAGCAGCCCTCGAAAGTGGCGACAATGTGACAGATCGCAGCCCCCCAGGGACGGCGAGGTCCCGTTTGGATCCGCGGTGGGTACCCTCTCTGCTGGCCTCCCCAGCAGCCCTCGAAAGTGGCGACAGTTTCACAGATCGCAGCCCCCCATGGACGGCGAGAGGAGACAAGAGGGAAGCGGGAGGCGGGAGGCGGGAGGAGAAGGACGCGACCACACCCCTCTATTCAAAACGAAGACCCAACCAAGGAGGGTTGGGAAAAATACCACGTGCATTGATCATGCAAGTAGTAAGGACAACTACTGCTAAGGCCATGATAGTCATAGCAGACATGTCTGCAACTGATGCTGCGTGGAGGCTACGACTATGAAAGGTACACGACATGTGAAACGAGGCGCATACGATACGTAAACGTACATGCAACGTAGGTAAACCTGGAACCACGCACGTGCTTCGCGCGCGCTCAGGCCCCGCCCTCTGCTCCATCGATTCGCCCAGAGGAGGAGGAGGAGGAGGAGGAGGAGGAGGAGGAGGAGGAGGAGGAGGGGGAGGAGGAGGAGGAGGAGGAGGAGGAGGAGGAGGAGGAGGAGGATGGGAGGAGGAGGAGGAGGCTCCAGCGCAGACCCTGGCTCCATGACGAACACACAAGTGGCACAACCCTGCGCCTCCCCGCGCGTGCTCCCCTGCCCCTCCCACTCCCCCCTCCCCCATCGTCGTCCCCCTCCTCGTCCACCTCAATCCCCGTCGTCGTGCCTGTCGTCCCCCATCCGACGGGTGATCCTCGAAATCCCTCTTCCAAGTGCTAACCCCCGCCGCCCTTCCTAAAACCGGTCCCCTCCCCCTTCAAATATTCTCCGTCTTCCTCCCTCCTCCTCCTCCTCCTCCTTTCCCCCCTCTCCCGTCCTACGGCACCCACCGAAGGGCAACAACCATGGGGCACCGACTGCCAGCGATGACAAGTCGAAACGACCAAAGAATGTTGAACCTGCGACTGGCGCTGCATCCTGTTGCGTCTTCCCCCTTCCTGCTCGGCTGTCTTGGGCTGAGGTAGACCCCATACTGGGCCCTCTTGTACGTCTCATGGCCAATATCGGGGTCATGTGGAATGCTGCTGGGCCATCGTGGGATCCCCGAGGGTGGGGGGAACAACGAGACGGAAATTCGGTCTCCTTTTGGCGTAGTGGGCCGCGTGGGAGTCCTGGTGGGACGATGATCGGGCCGCGTCTGAGGGGTTCGGGTCTGTCGTGCGGATGTCGTGGGCCCCTCACGTTGGACTATTATATCGACTTGGGTGAAGTGTTGAGGAACCTCGTGGCAACCCCCAACTGTTTTGAAACCGTCCGCAAGTCTCTCGGACGCAGGACTTGGAGGCCGCAGGGGGCGTATGTCGGAGCCCTTTTGGAGCCGTGTTGGGGATCCCGCCATGCCATCATTTTTCCTAGCAGGCATCAAGTTCATGGCGCGTTAACAGAACACTCGCTGGACGCAGTGCTTGGTAGCACTGGAGAAGGTCCAGTGGAGTTCGATCAAACATGCTGCCGAATTATCCAAGTGACGAGCGCTGGCTGTACTGCTGCTCGGTCAAAACAACTGCGCATCCAACGCATTAAACGCTTGAAAGAGCGATGGCTGGGCTCAGTGCAGCGAAGCACGGCAGAAGGCCCACCTGCTGTCCGAGAGATCCAAAGCGAATCTCTCGGGCCTAACTGAAACCCTGTTGGGGCATCCTGGGGCCCTCTTGACCTGTCGGAGAGCTCATTTGGGCATTCCTGAAGCGGTTTTGGGGGCGCTGCGACAACGAAGCAGTAGCGTAAACGAACACCGTTGAACACACTAAAGAAATGTTGACCAGCGTAGAACCCAAACGGTAAGTTCTAGACAACTAAATGGTGCAATAGATGAGAAGCAAGCTATGTGGTGTAAGCTATGTGGTGCAGTCTGCGAAGCTACGTGGTGCACCATCGGTTGTTCAATCTACGTGGTGCAATGTATGCGATCAAATCTACGTTGTGTAAGCGATGTGGTGCAAACTACGTGGTGCAAAACATGTGATGCAATCTAGTTTGTGCGAGCCGGGTATTCTAAGTTACGTGGTGAAATATACGTGGCGCAACCTACGCAGTGGTGCGTGCGGTGCAACCTGTGTGGTGCAAGCTGTGTGATGGAATCTATGTCTAGCAGTGCGTCCCATTGCAAACCGTGCAACGCCATGCAGAGCCATGCGAAGCAGAGCAGCGCACTGCGAGCCAATGCGAAACCCAGGGAAACCATGCAACGCCACGCCACAAACTGCGAAACGGGCGGCGACGAGGCGGCGGGCGGCGACGCGGCGGCGACGGGGCGGCCACACAGGCGGACACAACGGGCCGCAGGTCCAGGCAACGGTCGAGGTGACGGGCGGCGACGAGGCGGCGACGGCTGCCAAACAGAGCCTTCTGACCTGCTGCTGTCTTGAGGACCCACAACCGGGGAGTGGACCAATTCGGTAGGGAATGGACTAGTCTACCGAGGAAGAGATGTTTCAAACGGGCCCCCGAAACGCCCCCTACGCGGCTCGGGAACTGCGCCCCAAGACCTGTCCCGACCTTCACCCCGACCTCCAACGAGTTTGGCATCCCGACCCCCTCCCGGACCCTCATCTTGGAGCCCCCGCACCTGCCAACATGCGGCCCAAGGCCTACCCCGACCCCCACCCCGATCCCCACCGCGTCTGGCATCCTCACCACCACCTCGTACCTTGAGTTTTGCGAGCGAGAGAAGGGGGGCATCCTCGTCGACGGGCCGTGCTTCTGTGGGAATGAGCTGCTCGCTGCGAAGGCAGACAGCGCCCGAGGTGCGACACGGGACGCGACGCTGCCCGTCGAGCGTCGCGCCAGCACTGTCCGAGCACCGCGAATGCAGCAACTCGCTCCGCACACCTCGCTGGGCTCACCGTGGGCACCGAGCCTGGCACCTGGCGAGCGGCGGCACTGCTTGCCCCTGCTCGGGCGCTGGCAGAGCTGGGTTTCGTGGAACCTGGTTTAGCGATGTTGAAGGGGCCAAAGGACACACAAATAAATACACACAAATAAAATGTTGTTCCATATTTCCCCATATTTTTGGGGTTTCCGTCTTCCACCCCCACTTCCCATATTTTCCCATATTTTCCATGGAATCGAAGATTCATTGTGTCTGTGTGTTTCTTTTCCTCCTGAGATGTGCACTGGGGGCGGCCCCCCCCGCCCCGATCCACTAACCGGAACTGCCGTCACCCGAAAAACACCACCCACGGCAGACCTGGTTTGGTGATCTGGCAGATGCAAGGGCCCCGGGGCCCTACCACGAACCGGGTCCCCTTACCTGGGGTCCTGGCTATACCCGACCTGTTCTCCCCGCCTCCAGAAGTTCGTGGTCCGTGGCCTCAGAAACTGAGGTAATCCTTCAGATCGGCATCGAGGCGAGGTGATGCCAAACACAGGGATAGGGATATGCTTCAGACTCGCAAATTGTCTCTCCCTGTACTCCCCGCCTCCAGAAAGTGCCTTCTGGCCAGGACTTTCGAGGCGAAACCAGCGGCGGCAACGAGGGCCGCCCAGGATGCCGAAAAAGGGAAAACCCCCGAAGGGTAGAGGTATGGGCACCTTTTCCTTGGGCGCCCGAGTTATCCGGGGTAACTCGGGCCCGGGGCAACTCGGGCTTGGATTCCCGAAAAACGAACCCGAGTTAGCCCTGACCCGAGTTACCCCTGATGATTCGGGGCTCTGGACGCCCGAGTTATCCGGGGTAACTCGGGCCCGGGGCAACTCGGGTTCGGATTCCCGAACAACGAACCCGAGTTAGCCCTGACCCGAGTTACCCCTGATGATTCGGGTCTCTGATCTGAGGCACTGGCGAGCGACGACATTGCCTCCAGAAAAACGTGGTCCGTGGCCTCGGCGTGCGAAACCCGCGGGCGCGGCGCAGCGCCGAAGGAACCAAAACCGAGCGCGCGGCTCGCCCCGGGCGCGGCTGGTTGCGCCGGACGCCGGCAGGGCAGCGCGGCACCGAGCGTCGGTTGGGCGTGGCTTAATGGGGGGTCACACATGGGGGGGTCAGAAAAGGTTCCCTTTCGTGCCCCTTTCGGACCCCTCCGGAGCCCCAGGGGGCTCGTTCAGGTACCGTTTGGGTACCTTTTCGGACCACCCTCGCCACCCCCCCATTTATGACCCCCCCATTACGCGGCCACTGCCCCGACCTCTCCCGGGGTGCGTTCCGACCAGGACTTCGAGGCGAGTCCAGCGGTGGCGACGCGGGACTCCTCCTCCTCCTCCTCCTCCTCCTCCTCCTCCTCCTCCTCCTCCTCCTCCTCCTCCTCCTCCTCCTCCTCCTCCTCCTCCTCCTCCTCCTCCGCCACCCCCCTAGCTATGACCAAAAAACGAGCGCACGGCTCGCCCCGGGCGCGGCTCAAGTGCGCCGGGCGCCGGCAGGGCGGTGCGGCGGCGAGCGTCGGCAGAGCGTGGGGCAGCCGGCCCTGTGGTTGCCGGGGTGCGCCAGGCTGCAGGAGCGCTCGCAGGATACGAATGCATGGCTTGGCCATGGTTCGGGTGAGAAGTACAGTCGAGGCGCTGACCCAAGGAACCCCAGGTAAGGAACGAGGCCCCTGTGTTCCATAAGTGGAACTTCGATCTCGTATCGAAGACACAAGGGAAGCCTGAGGCAAGCTGTGAAACACTCAAGGAACACGGAGCCCCTCCCCAACGAAAAGGGTTCCTTCTTCAGGGCCCCGACTGTACGCAGGCGCATTGAAACAGGACGAGAAGTGGATCCTGATGGAATTCGCTCAGGAAACGTTCCAAGAGTTCTGGGGTACCTGGCGGCCCTAGCTCTTGGGGCCCGTGTGGTACAATGGGAGATCCAAGCAATCCTGAAAGAATCTTGGAACGTACCATTACCATAACCTGTTGCGCCTGCGATGACATAGTGCATGGCTCGCCCTGGACGCCGCTAGCTGCCAGATGCCAACAGGACAGCTCGGTACCAAGTATCAGCAGTTCTTGAGCCGAGACGGCAGAAGTGCTCACAAGAGACGAAGTGCAGAGGGAATGAAAACGAGTGCACGGCTCGCCCTGGACGCGGCTAGATGCCAGATTCCAGCAGGACAGCTCGGCACTGCGTGTCAGCAACTCTTGGAGAAGGGAAGCCTGCGGCTGCCAGGATGTGCCACTGGAGCCGCAGACGGCAGGATTGCTCACAAGAAACGACTGCGCCCGTGATACAAGAGAGCAATGCGCAAGCGAATTGAGACTGATAATATAAGGCGATTGGCTCAGGATACGTTCCAAGAATTCTGGGGTACCTAACGGCCCTATCTTTTTGGGCCCGTGTGGTACAATAATGGGAGATCCAAACAATGCTGAAAGAATCTTGGAACGTACCATTACCATACTCCGAGTTTCTTAATACACCCTCACCGACAGCCCCACATCGACCCCCGTCGCGGGCAGCCGCTGCGCGCCGAAGGCGCTCCGACCTCCGTCGCGGCGCGACGACGAGACGAGGTGTTGAGCCCCGTCGAGACGAGGTTGAGCCCCGTCGGGGGGGTACCCCCCACGCAAATTAACGAACCCAGAGTAATATCTTGCTCCTCCGATGAAATCATGCATGGCTCGCCATGGACGCGGCTAGATACCATATTCCAACAGGACAGCTCGGCACTCAGTGTCAGCAATTCATGGAGCAACAGGTCCGTCGTTGCCATGATGCTCCACTGGAGCCGAGATGGCAGAAGTGCTCATGAGAAGCGAATGCATGGCTCGCCCACGATACACGATAGAACTTCGCAAGCGCATTGAAAAAGGATACGTACTGACACAATGATGCGATTGGCTCAGGAAACGTTCCAAGAATTCTGGGGTACCTGGCGGCCTCGCTTGCTCGGCCCTTGTGGAACAATGGGGGATCCAGACAATCCTGAAAGAATCTTGGAACGTACCATTACCATAATCTCGTGCTGCTGCTAATTACGAAGTCGTGCACGGCTCGCCCTGGACGCGGCGAGCTGCCAGATGCCAGCAGGGCAGCTCGGCACTGCGTGCCAGCAGCTCCTAGAGCAGCAGGCCCCAGGCTGCCAGGATGCGCCACCTCTCCCTCTCTCCCGCTCTCTCTCTCTCTCTCTCTCTCTCCCTCTCTCCCTCTCTCCCTCTCTCTCTCTCTCTCTCTCTCCCTCTCTCTCCCTCTTTCTCCCTCTCTCTCCCTCTCTCTCCCTCTCTCTCTCTCTCTCTGTAGCCAATCGAAAGGCACAGAAGAAAAGACTGCATGGCACGCCCTGGACGCCGCCAGACGCCGGCAAGACAGCCCGGCACTCCTCCAACTCACCCCAGTAGCGGCCCCTACCGTCAGGTCGGGCCTGTCCTCCTACGGGCGGATTTTGGACGAGAAATGACAAACACGAGAAACGTGCCACAACAAGAATAGTCAAAAAATCGTCCGACTATGTTTTGGGATATTCCTTCTGTAGAGGGGCATGCCCGACCTGAGCATACTGGTTACAAGCCGGTTCCTACGACCGGCCACTGAGCCTCAGGGCGGCCCCGAACGCTGCGGAGGGCGACCCTGGCGGCGGCGCCGCCGTCTCACCGGACCCGCGCGCCCCGCGGCGCAACTCCCTGGATACGGCGCCCGCCCAGCTCCTGGGGCAGCGAGCGGCGCCCGCGCCCCCGGCGCCTTCTTCTTCTGGCGCCGCGACCGCCGCTGGCCTGAGGCAGTCGCGTTCGTCGAGGCACGGGCGGCGCTGCCTCACGCCAAACTCCCAGGGCGAGCACACAGACCGCCGGGCGGCAGCCGCCTGCTGCTCCCAGAACGCCTCGGACCGGAGGCGCCTGAGCGGGGCCACCCTTGGCGCTGGCATCGCAACCCCCATCCGGGGGCGCCCGTCCCTGGAGGGCACCGCCTGGATGAACGCCGTCCCGAGGAGCGCCAGCTCATCGCCATCCCTCGGCACCGCGGCGGCTCCCCAGCTCTCCTTGTGCGCGTCGGCGTCCTGGTCGTCACCAAAGGCGGGCAACTCTGACGTTGGGCATCGCGTGGGGGCCGAGCTGAGCCGGTCCGAGTCGGCACGCGCCCTCTTGCCATCCCTCTGCTCGGCGAGAGCCGCCTCGCCTTCCCGACACTTCGCGCGCGGGCCGAGCATATGGTTGATGGAGAGCTGCCTGGCTGGCCGGCACGCGCTGCGCAGATCGAGAGCTCCACTGCCCCAGAGGTGGCTTGAGACTCAATGGCTACAGTCGGGGAGACGTAAGACCCGGGTACGGGGGACTCGGAAATCCCCGACGAGGTCGTCAAAAAAATGACGAGGCCGAGCCTGCATTTTGACGAGGCCTCCCGCTGCAGACATCCCACGAAACTCCTCCTCGTCAAAATCCGAGGCGCGGTCGTCAAAAAACGATGGCGAACCCGAGTCCCGGCAAACCCGGGTCTTACGCTCCCCCGATACAGACTGAATGAGGGAGGAGGATGGCGGTGATGATCATCGCCGCACTGCGTCTGCACGACGATCGGCCGCGCTGAATACGCGCTGGGGCGCGACTCGGGGCGCCAAACTCGACAGCGCGACCCCATGCGAGCACCCGCAACTGACAGCGTCGCCCGCACTGGGTCCGCATTGCGACGCGACGCGACGCCGACGGACACGTGGAGAACACGTGACGCCGGGCGAGCTCTCTTAAATGGGACCGTAGCTGGAGCTTGTGCGCAGTCCTCCTCAAGGGTGTCCCGAATCGTGCGCGCTGGCAATCGCGGACGGGAGCAATCCTCGCGAGGGTTGTGAAACATCAGGCGATGTGGCGCTCAGGGATAGCTGTGGTTGCAGTGCTTTTGCGGGACGGTCGGCTGCGGCGCGTGCGTTCTGCGGCGCGGTATCCGCGCGACGAGCTCGACGGCTTAACCCCGCGCGAACACCCACAACTGATCGCGTTGTTCCGCTCTGGGCCCGAGCTGCGGCACAACGCAACGCCGAAGGACGCGGTGCGAACGCGTGATGCCATGCGGCCTCCCACAACAGGGGCCGCAGCTGGAAATGCTGCACCGTACCACGAGGTATTCGTCAGGCGCGTGCGTGCGCGTGCCAGATCAGGCATCTTGACGCTATATCGATTATCCCGTGGTTGGGGCCGCACTGAGAGCTGCTGCAAGGCAACATGGTGTGAACCCTTGGGCGAAACGACGCCATGTGATTGCCCGCTTTGGGGCTGTATTTGGAGTTCCCTGCGGAGCACGCTCCTCGTGAGGGGTGGGCCGAGGTCAGCCAGCTGGTGCCTTCGATGCAAGCCCACCCAAGGGAGACTGCAATTGGAGCTCCGTCAGGAACACGGTCCTCGTGGGGGATTCGCAGAAATAGCACAACGGGCACTACGAATGATTCCCCGTGGGGCGGTGTTTGCAGCTCTCTGACGGGGCTGACTATGGAGCTCAGGTCCTCTGTCGATGCCGTAGATGGAGCTCCGTGTCGGACACGACCTTCGTGAGGAGTATGCCGTGTTTGGCAAGGTGACGCGCTGCGAATGCCTCTACTGGAGCCACGGTTCCATCACAGCAGCACTGAGGCGAACCGTAAACAATCACAGGAAGTACACCAGGACGTCGTAGACACAGCTACTTCCGACCGCCACCGCGTCTGGCATCCCCACCATCCTCCTGGTCCTGTCCTCGGAGCCCCCCGCCCAGCAGTTTCCAGAACAACAACTACCAATCAATAGCCCCCACCCCCCGCCCTGACCACCACCGCGTCTAGCAGCGCCCACCCTTGGATCCTGATATCGGAGCCCCCCGGCCCGACCATGTCGACCGAACACCTACCCCGACCCCCACCCTGAACCCCAACGCGCCTGGCATTCCCACCACCCCCTGGACCTTGTCCTGAAGGGGAAAAAAATCGGCACCTTGCGGCTCAAATCGGCTACACGTAAGAGCGACCCTGGGTAAGAGTGACCTTTGGGGGGGGCCGCGGGGAGGTCAAATCCAAGCGCGCTAGCCGCTGCTACCGCTTCGCGTTTGGCCATTTGGGGGCCCATCTGTGCCCGCACCCAAGGTCACTCCGGCGAAAGGTCACTTACGTCTAGTCGATCAAAACCTACCCCGACCCTCACGCCGACAGCCGCCACATCCGGCATCCCCCCCCCTCCCCGGGCCGGCCCCGCTCTTCGAGCCCCCCACCCGGCAAATACCCCCCCAATGCCTACCACGACCCCCACCCTGACCCCCACCGAGTCTGGCAAACCCACCCCGCCTGGATCCTGCGCTCTTGCAGCATCCCGCCCAAAAATATCCGGCCCAAGAACTACCCCGACCACCATCCTGACCCCCACATCTTCCGCCAGCCCCTACTGGATCCAATGTCTGGAACCCCCACCCGACAGGTTCACAGCTTTTCTTGAAAAAAGGATGACCCCCCACCCGAAAAGTTATCAAGTTTCTTTTTTCTTCCCTAACTAGGTTCTGCCTAAAAGGGTTCTTACTCGGAGGTTTAGAGGGCCGGGCAGTGGAACGCGCCCCTGACGGTTCCCCTGGCACCCGCCCCGCGGTTGCCCCAGTGACGTTAATTTAACTTCGCGTTGCCTATCTCATGCCAGCGCCATCTTAATACAGCGTAAGTAGTTTAGCTTCATATTAGATCAATGCTTTTTGGTTTAGCTTACATTCAGATTAGCTTCGCTGAGCTTTATCATAGCAGAGCACAGCATAGCATCGCATAGCGTAGAATATCATAGCGCGGCATAGCATATCATAGCATAGCACAGCACAACATAGCATAGCGCAGCAAAGCATCGCACATCATAGCACAGCATAGCATAGCGCAGCATAGCATGGCATGGCATGGCATGGCATAGCATAGCACATCAACTAAGTATGCTTTCCTTGGGGCTCGAATTTCTAGGTCGTGTCGCACACGGGTAATTTTACTATATATACACGTCTTGTTTATATGTATATATAACAAAAACAAGTGAGCTCCACCGCGTCCGGCCTGCCCCCCCATGGATCCTCTTTTGGGGGCCCTACACACGCAACACATATCGAACATCTACCCCGACCTACGCGCTGCCCCCCATGGCGTCCGGCATCCCTCCAATGGATACAACGCTCGAAGCCCCCCCACCCGAAAATCCCCGGCCCAGTGCCACGGCGCCCCCCCGCCCAGAAATTTTCGGGCCAACACCTACAGCGACCCCCACCCTGACCCCGAACGACCTCGGCATCCCCAGCCCCCTGGATCCTGCGTTTGAGGCCCCACCGTGAAATCTTCGGAACAAGACCGACCCCGAGCACGGCCCTGAACCCCACCGATTCTTGTGAACTCGTCGAAGCACTCGACGTCGTCGGTCGTGCTCGAATCGAAATTCGAAACCAGCTTCTCCTCAAACCCCTTCCTCCGCTATGCTCTGCACGCGGGGGGGCGGCGACGATAACCTTTTGGTCAGTCGAGAGGCCCCTCGAGCTCAAACGGCAATGGTCATGCGTGCTGCTATACATCATGCCGGTTGCTGCCTGCTGTCATGACACAGCACGCCTGGTCTCGGGAGGGACAACCTCCAACATGAGTATGTCCGACACCCTCGCAACACCCATGATATGCAGTACAATTCTCACTGTTGCAAAAGGGAACGAAAACTTGTCCAAACTCTCGCCTGAATCACTCGAACATCTCCGCAGCAAGTAGCATATCAGTATGACTGACTCAAGCACCGCATCTCCGCTCGAGAGAACTGCGCCACACGTCGGTGTCGCATAGGCCTCTGCTGAGAGACACCGCTTCGTTAAGAGAGGGTGGAAGAAAAGGAGCAGGAAACTATAACAGGACGCAATTCAAGAATTGCGAGGGCACCGTCACTCATTGTGCTGAGCCGTGTGCAACTCACGTGTGATCTCCCAGCCTCGTCGAAAACCGTTCGCTACGTGTTTGTACTGTTCGTACCTTCCGTCGGGCCGTCCGATACTAGTGTAATTGACCAGGCCCTGGCAACCGACGTCCCACTTGATGGCGCTCAGCTTCACCTTCTTCTCCTTCGGGGCCTTGGTCTGTCCACGCTCCTTCTCTGGCTCGGACTCTGGCAGGGCCTGGACCTTCTTCTCCTTCTGCGAAGGCTTGCCTATCACGTAGCAAGCGGGAACTACAAGCACGAACACCACCATGATGACAAAAACTCCTTCCGCAAACGTGCTGAGCGGCATCTTGATCACGATCCGCGGGCTCCCGGTCCACTGGAACTCCAACAGGGCCGTCTCGGTCTCGTTCTCCTTCTCGCAAATCTTCACCTCGCTGGCTGCTGACCTCGTAGGGGATGCCATGTCCGCCTTCGCTGTTGTCGCACTCGCCTTCGGGCTTGATGTAGCGAACCTCGCTGCCTCCTCGTTGGATCACAGTGCACCTCGATGGATGCGAGGGCCTTGGCGACTTGCATCTCGGTCGCACTCGTCCCAACGATGCGGCGCCCAGCGCTTGCAAGTGCGACGTCCCCGCTCTTCCACGGCGACCCACTTCGCTTTCTGAGCGCCGACCGTGTCTCTGAAGCCCACTCTTTCGTCCGCGCGGACGGCGCCGCGCGCCTCGTGCTCGGGCGAGGCGCCACGCGCCTGCTAACGCATGGTCGGGCGACAATCTGGGCAGCGCGCCCTGATGTAGTCACTGGGCCCCGGGGTCCGATGGAGCCGCGGCACTCGGCCGGGGTCGAACTGGACGCGTCCTTGCCCGAGAAAGGGGAGGACCATTACAACGCCGGCCAGCGCGAGCCCACGCTCCCCGACTGCTCCGCCGCGGCGCCCGAGGGGCTGCGCGGCTCCTCGCGCTTGCACGACGCGACAGCGGGACGCCACACGCGGCTGGGAACGCAGCCGCGAGGTCGTCGTCAAGCTGTTTTCGCGAAGCGCCTCTTCCAGTTGACTGGTGGTGTTCCTTCAACTTTTGTCGTGCCGTGCCGGGTCCGCCTGGGCGACGGTTGCCGTGCATGGGCGCAACGCATGAAGACTGCGCCGCGAACAGTTCCTCGAGCGCGGGCGTGACCTCGATGGCGTCAGCTTTACAGATGGCGGCGCGGATCCACACAACGTGGTCAGCTGGGTCGAAAGTGACTTGGACGACGTGTTGGGAGCTATTTGCATCGACCCACCCGAGCTGGTAGATGGTCCCATGGATGTGCGGCGGAGCACTAGGATTGAGATCCTTCTTCCTGGATGATCGGTGACGATGGGCCCCAGACTTGCAAGCGCTAGAAGATTGTCTTGTGCACGAATGTGATGTAGCAAGCGGTCGCCTTGCTCAAGCATGCGAAATGGGATGCTACTGGTGCTACACGTTCCACAGCCCTCTTTCTCAGGCGCGGAGGTGCGTATCGAAGGATGATGATCGGGCCCA